TTTTCTCTTATTACTTTGAATTTTAACATCTGAGTTTTCTCAGAGTACGGATCTGATGGGTTTTGATATTTTCACACATTACGGAGTTCAGAATTATATGGCGAATAATGGTTTGGTAGTTCGGGAAGAATATCGTCGCCGAGGAATTGCTATGCATATGCTTCTAGTCGCAAAAGAAGTTTGTATAAAAAATGAAATAAACGTGGTAGCAACTATTGTTACATCTAAAAGCGTGAACCAAATGACCACAAATTTTGGACTTGAACTCAATGCAAGCCAAAGGTAGTGAACTCAACCTGCCCTCTCCTATATTCACACTAAATATTTGAATATTTATTTTCAGACTTACGAAGGATTTGACAATCACGTTGAGATCAATCAAATTTTAAGAAGAATATTTGCAAATAACTCCGCATATATATGGTTTATACGCATATATGCAGCGTATATGCGGCATACTTGCGATGTCTTCATCTATTTATAGTATATTCGGTAAAAAATACTTGAGTATAAACCGTATAAATGTATAGATAATTCCCCCTAGCTGCATTACTTTTCAACGTATACTTTTTTCATAGTTTGTACCATAGACATTATTTTGAATAATAAAAAACTAACACAACTGAAAAGTGAAAGAATAAAGAGCAAAAAGGTTCTCATTCGAAACGTTATTTAATCCAGTTATCTATTGCAAACAATGCCGTAGCACGACTAAACCTTCAGAAAGTCTTGGGCTCATATTTTCTTTTTTTGAATGGATAATTGAATATAAATATTTCAATGTTCGCAAAACCTGATTATAATCAGGTATACTGTTTGAAAAATACATGATGATCATAAATAGTATTTATATTTATTAAGTACGATTAAGAAAATAAAAAATCAACAGAAAAACGCTTTTTTAAAATTTAATTGATTTTATAACTGTTTTATAAATGCTAAAAAACCGAAGAAAGAGGCACAAATTGTGAAAAAATTACTGTCAAAATGTATGTACACAAACGTGAATATGTAAAAGTTGCATATTGCTTCAAATCTCCACACAAATATGCAAACACATTTGATCGTTGTAAGAGGAAAATTATTTATAAGCATGGCTTTCGCATTCAGCTACACGTACACATAAGCCATAAAATACCATTTTTTTGTGAGTTTGGACTCATACCTACCCACACACACACACACTTAATATAAAGTGGATCTACATGTCTGAAAATGAATACATAAATGATAAGGGCTTTTCCTAAAAACCCATTCTTAAGTGAAAAAAAGCGCCGATGCGTCTTTATTTATTTAAAACTTACGCGATTTTCGGCGTGTGTATGGTTTACCTAACGCCAACTCTCGGCTCGACTTGGCAATCGTTTCTATTCTCTCATTTTTCGTCCCCATCATTCAGCCGGGCCAAGTATTCAATATATATTTGCACAATAATATAACACAATTTATTTGCACTTATTGTTCACCAGACAATATATTTAGCTGCCGCCATCTGTAATAGTAATACAAGCTTATATACCTATAACAATCACTTCTATTGTTTTCACTTCGCATCATCTGCTGACGGCATCCAGATGAGCTGAAATATCCAGATGACGGCAGCTAAATATATTGTCTGTTGTTCACTAGCTCAGATGTTTGTGAACATTCGTGAATATGTGTGGGTACACGCAAGTAAAAGAATACTTCTGAGCCCACCAGATTTGCATGTACTAGCACAATACGCTCGTCGAACGAAGCAAATCTTGCAACGCCGAATTTGAATATTGATGTTGGCCTTAGAGCTTTGGCACAACAGTATAAACGTAATTTTGATTTATATGTTTTAGTAAAAGTTATACAATTTTTCTTGGTTATTGTTGGCATTTGCATTACGTTACTGTTCTTCTGCTTGATTGTAACTTCCGATAAAGTTCCATTGGTAAAACGCTTCTAATACTTTTGTGCCCATTTATCGCATCCAATTGATACACACAATTCAATGAACTTCCGTTTCAGGTAAAGTGCTTCTATATTTGTTATTGGTTATCACATTTATATCAAATAAGAGAAGAAAAGGAACAAAAAAAAAAATCGAATAAGGAAGAGAATAAAAAGTTTTGCGTTCGCATTGTATAATACATAGCAATTGAATTCACTTCATTCGCATCGTGATTTCAATATTCTTCGATTCGTTTTCGTTCTGTTCGTTTTGAAGCTACCTTTTTTCTCTGTGTCTCTTTAATCGAATAATTTGATGCATCGCATCATATCCAAGGACCGGTTCGTGCATATTTCCATGCTTGCCTAGATACGCTAGGTAGCATAGATATGCCAAGCATAGCGGCAAATGCAACAGACGCATCGCCATCCACTCTGTATGAACATACACATGTTCGTGTATTCAGGCGGCCGTGCTTTGAGAGACGCACGCATAAGATATAGATCGAATCGAATGGCGACGGATGCGTCTTGCGTCTCCGCTATGCTTAGCATAGCTATCTTGCATAGAAATATACGCGAATCGGTCCCTGATCATATCTATGGCTGTGATTTTATTTTGTAATGATGATACTTCAATAACCGAATCATTGTCATTGGATCTACCATACCAATGTCATCAATCTTTTAACATCATCACCAACCGCTTTCACACAACAAAAATTCAATATACAATACGTATTATGTCATTTCATCGCTGAAGAAAATGATTTATTCTCATTTGGTAACAATTAATTTGAAATTTTCTTCTTCGCGATGAATTTAAAACATCGACCACCCAGTCAGCACAAATAGCTCTTCTAGAAAATATACAGAACATGATCTTAATAAAGAATCAGATGGATATTCAGCACATCCCAAGATAAAGTCCCATTGAGCTCGGTAATCTGCAAAAGTTTTTTTTTTTGTACATGAAACCTCTCTTGAAACGGCGAATTAGGCCAATTAGATAACTACTTGTATTTATCAGTGTATATGGTAACATTGCTCTTATTATTTTATCGTTTTGGAAACGACCATCGAATATCGCTATTTTAATTTAAAATGTGTGCCTTGGGAATCTTCATTTTTGAAGAAACTCAATGCCAATTATTAATCCAAAAAAAGTTGAAAATGAAAAATGATTTCATCTCAAAATTACATTAAAAGCTTTTGGGGTTGAGTTTTTGTTTTTAATTGTAGCCTCCATATGCAGGCTGTGTGTTTACTGTTCAGTCTGATTTCAGCAGGCACTGATGCCTATATCCAAGATATGTGACATATAGTATGCCGCAACAACAGTGCAAAACGCAATACATGCTTGTTATTTCTTGCGGCATACTATGCATAACATATCTTGCCTATAGGCACAGCTTAGTTTACAACCAGCTCATTAATTCGTTAAACTTTTAAATATATACTTGGGATACTATTCCACCCTGTAGTCAAGCAAACCCCGGTACGCTAACCAACAATATGGCTGAGTTACATTTACGTGTATGACACAACACTAATGATGTGGCCAATAAACCTATATATATATGTAAGTTATATGTGTATGTTGTTTTGATATGATTGACACATCGAAGTGAAGTTATGAAGTTATGTAAGCGATGAAGCAATTTCACTTTTATGATTTCCTTTATTATAATGTTTATGTAATTCTTTTACATTATCATTGAAAATCTTTTGTAATTCTCGAATTGAATGTAGTAGCCAATTCGGTGAAAGACTTGATATGCAACTTGATTTAATCTTCACAAAGCATTGTTGCTCTGATAACGAAAAAAAATACGTTCAGATTCTGTGTTACTTGGCCTATTTGCTTCGTAATTGCCTTCAAGCTTAAATGCTGCATAAGAGAAAATAATAATGGGAACTTTTGGATATTTTAAATGAGCACTGCTTTTGCTACAGCTACTGTCTGTCCAAGGAGGGTGGATTAACACCATATAGAATGAACTTTTGGAAATGAATATATTTTGTAATTTTCATTTTTTTTACCACTTATTCTCCTTCGAGACATGCCCACCTCTGTTTCCAAACCCTGAATATAAAAATCCCATCACAAATGGAGAGTATCGTTAAATTAACTCTTTGACAATAGGATTGTCCTATTTCTCATACTTATAGTGATAGTATTTGTGAAAATTCAAAGAACCACAGGCAATTACGCTACCAACATTTGATGTAGTATCGTGGGTTATACTATTTAATGTGCAATGGTTATACAAATTGGTTTATAGCATACATTTTGCTTTATTGGCCGTTCTTAAGATTTAACAATACAATGGGCTTCGTTGGCATTGTTGGTATATTTGTTGTTTGGAAGTCGAACTTCTTTGTGGTTACATTTTTTTGAAATGTCTAACTCCTGAAGCGATGCCATTTGATTTTAATTATGTATGCACGACGATTAATATGTCCAATATCATTTCGGATGAAATGTGGTGGCTGCACGTTCGATTGAATTTATTGATGACAGTATTGTCGATGAGTCGCCGTGCCTTACGTTACCTACGCAAACAATAAAAACATTCTCTCGAATCGTTAGATTAATCGTTTCAGTGCATTTTGCGGTTGATCTTTCGTTCAATATCGAACACAGTGTCTGTCTTGTCTGTCTATGAATCAAATTCAAAGCATTATATCGATTAACATTATCTAGTGCTAGGTATCTTTCAGTCTCTCCATCTTTCGGGTAAATATTTCCAAAAATGGATACAGTGAACGAAAAGGGAAGAGAGAAAGAAATGGCATTTTTGTCGACCTGGCAAACAAAATCGATGAACTGTAAGCCGTTGGAATAAACAAATCAAAATGTTAAAATCACTAATACGACTTGATTGACCGTACATCAATGGATTTCAATAGCATTGAGACGATTGAGACGATTGAGATAGAGATAGAGAAATGGAGAGAGAGAGAGAGAGAGAAGCACGTAGAAATCAATATTTATGCACGGAGAATATATGACCGAGTTTTTGTCATGATATCGAATGAAATCATAAATGACGGTGTATGTATGGGGCCAAACTTCTAACCAACGCCATTGGCGTTTGAATAAAATGTTGAAAAATAAGAGTCATTTTGCTAACCAAACAGTAACAGTACATACAATCATTTGGCCATATTGGAACAAAAGCCAATACCATATATACATAAAAGAGGAACGGTATGCACACTATTTGAATTGTATAAAATAGTCACTTGAGAGCATTGAATGGGGGTTTCGTTATTTCCAAAATTACAGATTATCGATATAAATTGAAAAAACAAGAAAGAAACGAATAAACCCGTATGACAAATCCAATGGTCTCGTTTTTGAACATTTTTCACAGGCGCAACACCTGATTTCTTGGGATTGGACTTGAATCACCGGTTTTCTATATTTATTGTTATTGCTTTTATTAGAAGTGCGTGCAAGCAATAGTACGTATTTTGTGTGGGATTTTGTGTGAGAATCGAAGCGATTGAGGTTACAGTAAAGCATTCACCAAATAAATGGTTCGACGAAAAAGATATGCTCTCACATCGCCAATTGCTAGTTGGAGTGATGCCGTTAATTTTGTTTTGTTGTTATCCGATTTGAAGACGATGAGTTTACGAAACGAAGTGAAAGCGAAGAAATTGAGTATAAGAACAAAAATGAAATAAAAACGAATGGCGCAATGGTCATAAGC